AGAAGAATGATGCCATATTGTCTTTTTGGTTTCAAGTAAGTGGAAGACGAACTTGTGAAGTTCAAGATTATTTTTGTAAAAATACAGCCGTCTCACCAGTCCACTTCACAAATTGGTGCTGCAGCAAAGGAAAAGAATCTGTCCTAATTAAGACACTGCAGATTTGTCCTCTTGGCTGAAATAAAACTGCTGTCTGGCTGTCTGGTGAACAGGAGGAGGCGAATGTGAAAGTTTCTGCTAAACAGCACTTACAGAAAAATCTGATCCCAAAGGTCATCGAGACGGGCAGCAAAATGTAGATACAAGGAATGTGCAAATTAGCGGCGTCGTGTTTCTACTGAGAATTTTAAGTAATGAAATGTGTTGATGCCTGCTGGTGTGTGCAACTGAGCAGTCTGAAGGGCACCGAGCCAGCGGACCAAGACCTAGTTAGTGCCAGCAAATGTTTGGGATAACTGGTATCAAATATTAGGCTGAAAATGTGCAATGTTGTCGCGCTAAAAGCAGATGGCAGACTGACGCGACATAATGAATGCAACTAAGTTTTTTTTTTTCTCTTGCTGCAATCATCCGCTTGCTTATCCCAGACAATAAAAACTTCCCTCATGATGGGATTCCAATCAAAGCTAAACTTACTTTACTGTCCTTTCACTGCAGCTCAGAAAGGAAACACAGAGAAATGTATTCTGTTTAAGCCTTATATTGACGTCAGATAAACTTTGGTACGTCTTTCTGGACTGTGGAATCGGATCCCCTCCATGTCCAATTTTTACTCCTTGTGGGCTCATTTTTTAACTGCAATATAGAGTCCTGCACCTCTATGGAAACAGAACAACCATGGCTAGAAGTAGAGAGAATTTGAAATCACCTTGTGTGCAGCATGACACAGTTATAACGCCATAAATCATAAAAAAAGAGAAAAGGAAAGTTGAATTTTTTTGGATTATTGGTTGTACAAAAATTTAAAAAACCTACAATTGCCCACATAAAGCATTTTTCCAAGTGCCTTAATGTGTTACCAATATTGGGAAACATGGTGGGTCTACACATTGTTTTACTGCTTACATTTTTAATTAGTTTAAACACTTTTTTAAATGTAATTTTGGGGCTTTTTAGCGCAGTAGATAGACAGGAAAGGGAGGAGAGACCTGCAGCAAAGGGTCGTGAGCAGGAGTCGAACCAAAGACTGCTGCGTCGGGGAACTATAGCCCCTGTTTAATGGTCGCCCACTCAACTAGATGAGCTATAGAGGCGCCCCTAGTTTGTTTAAACACTTGTCCCCTATTTGTTCTGTGTAAACCGCCTGAAGTTCAGCCCAGTTTAGCTGCAAAGTCCAAGAAATTTTTTTCGTATAGCCATTATTGACTTCCCAGTTGTGCCGAGTAGAGAAAAATGTTTAGTTTTTTTTTTTTTTTTGTACAGAATCTAATTATTGAACTGGGTTTATTTTTGGCAAATTCTCAAGTGAGACATGTAGTATCAAGGGATTCATCACAATTTTAGATTTTATTCGTTTTACGATGGAACTGTACATCATATAAGAGCAGTTCAAGGACATTCAGTAAGTTGAAACTTTGTGTTTTTTACAGTTTATGGCTCTGATAAAACAGTGTAAGTGTGGCAATTTTTTATTTTTTGTAAGATTTATTTTTGGCTTTTTCCGGCTTTATTGACAGCAACAGTGAAAGACAGACAGAGAAACGTGGGGAGGAGAGTGGGGGAATGACATGCAGCAAATGAGCCGCCGGGTGGAATCGAACCCGGGCCGCTGCATCAGGGACTGAGCCCCTGTACCTGGGTCACCTGCACTACCCGCTGGGATATCCAGGCACCCAAGTTTGGCGATTTTTAAAAAAAGATAACATGCCTTTCCAACCTGCCATCAGAGGTTCAATGTCCAGTATGAAGAGGAGGAATAATCACATCAAGGACGAACCATTTCTGCGTTCATATGAGCAAGTTAGTGTTATCTTAGGACACTGTTCAAAATATGCTCACTTAAGTTCACCTCAGAATCCAGTGGTTCTGATAATCTGGATCAACTGCTGGCTTATTGTGCTCACAAATGATAGAATGATGGTTAAAGCAATCGAGGGAATAGACAGAACTATCCTTTAATATCACCGCTCTGGGTGCACTATATGTGAGTTTGCTGATATATCCTAGCCTCATGGAGGCCAACAGCTTCAGTATATAATGAGGGCCACTTCACCGCCAAACAGGCCCTGAAGTGACACTATTATCCACACTAACGCATAATGTGTCTTGCTACAGAATCCCCCGAATGCACGTCGCTGTTGACTCCTTTAACCGCCGGGTCACGCTGCGACTTACTATTTACATTCAGCCTCCTTCGCAATCCCAATCCTGCGGTTTAATAAAGACGTATTCCACCGACAGCCACGTGTCACCAACGCCTCACAGGCTCCGCTCCTACACGGATGCTATCACGGATGCTAAATGAGCACAGATTTGAGCCCGTTTCATTTGCTTAATGAGATGTTGTCACCTGCAATCACGAGATCATATGAGAAGCCAATTTGCGCAGGAAACCCTCGCTGCGGAAGGTAAGCCTCACCACGCCGCTCGGGGTTATTAGCTTGCTGATAATGAGCGCCCGGAGGCTGAGCCGGTGTAATGTTCCCGCGCTGAAACTTGATCTTCATCGTCGGGTCTCTTCGGCACCGAGCGCCGAGCATGTATGTGTGAACTCCAGCTTGTTAAAAAGGCAGCTAATGAGCGCGCCTCCGTCGGCCACGTGGCTCCGAGGGAAGGGTGCGAGCGAGGAGGAAGCGACGACGGCGTAAAGGTCACGGAGGAGGAAGGGAAAAAAAAAAAAAACGTGACTTCAACCGCGTCGCAATCAAACAGACGGCTCGCGGTGGATGTTTCTCGTCTTTGCCTTGATGCAAAGGATATGGCATCGATATGACAAGTAGAGGTTGTCATTGTGGTGCTATTGCCCGCGGCGACGCAGGCTGGAACATACATGAAAGAAAAGGATGGACGCATGGTTGAACACATGACTGAAGGGTTAACGGAACCAATGTGAAGATAAAGAGTTTGAGAGGATGCACTGAATTTCTATGAACAGCTGCCCAAAGAAAGGTGGCGAGAAAGTGTCGGCGTTTTTTTTTTTGCTTCCCTTCACAGACCCCTTCTGCACGACTGCAGACCCCACGATGCCCCGGACTTTCTAAAGCTGCACTTCAGGCCGGAGGTGAGAGCTGAGGGTCGCTGTTCATCCGCTTTAATGAGAAAGAGACAGAGTAAAAGACGGAGGGACAGAGATTTGGCTCTTCGCGGTTGCTGGGGAGCTTGCCATTAGCTTTCTGAGTGTACATGTGTGCGTCTGTCTTGCCATCTGGGTTCTGGTGCAGCACAGGATCGAGGCGACCAGGTGTCTGTCTGCCCTGGGGTCCGTCTGAACAGACCTCCAGGGACAACAGAAGCTCCGGGCTCATTTTGTGGCCACGGTTCGTGCTTCGCTTTGTCGGCAATGTGCAGCAATAAAATGTCGGCTGACCGTAAGAGCCTTAAGGGGTGCGATACTCCATTAACTAATCTTGAGATCTTGAATTGTCTGGTGTGTTTAGTTAAACAGCCACGGAGCAAACCTGAGGCCTGGTAGTGTTCAAACACAGAACAGAGCTGTATACATGACATGAAGAATGGAAGAAACAAAGCCGTATAGATGGTTGATTCAGACGTGATTTTTTTTACTGCTCTGGAATTCGGATCACATTTAAAATAAATGAGCTTTGAGACATAAACAGGAAACAGAAAGGACAACAAGGTGGCAAAATGACAGAGTGAATAATAAATAACGTTTGATTTTTGATTACGGTGAAAAACAATTTCGAGTTTTGATAAAAGATAATAAAACGGTGTGAGCTAAAGTGTACCTGAACAATGTCCCTCTCGGCGTATCTTCCTCTGGACGAGATTCTGACTTCATCACCATCCAACTCAACCATGGCTGAGGAAAACAAAACGGATTAAAAAAAAGGCATGCAACCTTAGCATACGTGGTGCGATAAGAAAGTTCTGGGACTGTTCATGGTGAATGGAGTGATCAAGGTGTTAGCTGCAGTACCTGGTTGTGCCAACAGGTGGAGCGCCTTACTATTTAATATGATGGAACGCAGCATTTTTTTTTTTTTCATACTGTAGTGACCCCAGGAGGCGGTCACTCGGGTTTTGAGCTGCTGGCAGCATTGTGATGGTTTGGCTAGCAACAGGCCACCTTGACAAAGACTTCTGTGAAAGTTAATGCATTTCGGCCAGAGTTCAGGCTCACAGGACGAACTGAAAAGAAGTTGTCTACGAGAACAGCGCTCCTATAAAAGTAATGTAATGAGCCTCTTTTGCAGCAAATGAAACCTAGCCATGATTTAAAATGCCAACTGTACTTTATTCGAATTAACAGTTAATCTACTCTAATATAAACTAGTCTACGCTAATCTAATCTAAACTAATATGACAACACTGCCAATTATCGGCTGAGAAAATTGTTGATTATGCATTGGGTTTTTTTTGGCCCCAACAACAAAATTATGGTAAATGGACTGCACTTATATCGCGCTTTTCTACCCTTGCAGCACTCAAAGCGCTTTACAATCTTTTCTCATTCACCCATTCACACACATTCATACACCAATGGCACCAGAGCTGCCATGCAAGGCACTAGACTGCCATTGGGAGCAACTTTGGGTTCAGTGTCTTGCCCAAGGACACTTGGCTGGGGATTGAACTGCCAACCTTACAATCAGAGGACAACCACTCTACCACCTGAACCACAGCCGCCCATAAAATTATTGCCCTCCACTCGCTCTACTCACCAGATTTCGTTCTTTGTGACTTCTTCCTCTTTCTAAAAGTAAAATTCAAGTAGAATGAGATTCAACGCTTTTTGCTAATGGTGCTCGACGTGTTTACATACATGTGTTGCAGAAGCACTGGGAGCAGTAGAGGTGACTTTGACGGGAATGTTGGTCAAATTTAAATCAGATGTCTAGAGGCACAGTCTCAGAACTTTTTGATCGCATCTTGTCTGCAATATCGCCTACTGCTGATCTACATAAACCAACAAATCAAAAACAATCACACAGTACTGGTTGAACTCGCTTATTGAAGACCAAAAGCTGCAAAGTAAGATTTCTTCTGTGTAATTTTCTAGATCAGAAACAGTTTTTGTTGTTTCCCCCCCCCAACAAAACTCAAGATCTCTACGACTTACCATCGAACTCTGCAGGCCCTACCCCCACAATGATGATTGACATCGGCAGACAGGAGGCCTACAGAAAAAAGAAAAGAACCATTTATATGTTGTAAAATTTTAAAAACCACTTTGGTGAAAAACGCCCCGTGTGCAGCAATAACAAGGTAATAAACAAGCCACTCAGCCCTTGGCGGCATATAAATCCTGCCGCGATCACATCTCAGTAGCAGTATACTATATACAGTATGTGCCAGCATGTGCGTGAATCTTTAATGTGTGTGTTTTCTGCAGCACCTCCCGGAGCGCTGCGTGGGTTGAGACATCACAGTCAATAATATTAGAGATGAGAGAATCAACAACACAGCCTGAACTCACCGACAGCTTACAAATGACATGTGCTCGTGTGCCTGCGACAGATTAGAAACAGAGAAGCGACCGGCGGTGTGTGCGTTCGAGTAATGCTTTGACCCTCCGGCTGCACACAGATAGATGATCTTATCAAAACACCCCCTTCATTTTTTCTGCTCCTGATGGTAAAGGTGCTCTTTCCCTACGGTTTCCCCTCATATGTCGCCTTCTTTTCCTCCACCTTCCCTCTCCCGGTTGCCTTTTTCCCTTTAACATTTCACTCTCTCTTTCTTCGTTGCTTTCACCGGGCCCCCGAGACGGATCACCGGTTTCGCGAAAATGCCTGCTGTTCATTTTGTTTGCATTCTACGTGGCGTCCCGGCTTTCCTCTGGAGCGTGCCGTGACTTGACAGTGATGGAGAGGACGGAGCGAGGGTGAATAACAGGCTGTCAAAAACGAGAGCAGCGCAGCAAACATTAAAAAAAAAAAATAACAGTAGTAACGGCTCCGGAGTCACATTTTATTTCTGCGGGCGATGACGGCGAGAAAGTGCGGATATGTAGGAGTAAAAAACACGAAATATCAAACACGTGCAGCCTCTTGTGTTTGTTCTCCCACTTCTGCTTGTTGTAGATTAACATTAATGGTAAATCCAACAGTATATGCGCTTTCTCCATACAGTAATTGCTTTGTCGATACATTTACAGCGATCCGTTAAACAGCCTAATTAGGCGAGCTGTTTTCCAGCTTTCATCCGAACGCTGATTGATGTCGTCAAGACTTTAAATAAAAACAGTTTAAAAGTAAAACGTAATTAGTTTTCGGGTCATCACAGTTCTGCTCATTTCCATAAAGCTTTGAATTGATTGCAAATAAACGTGGCGAATGTCTTCTTTTTTCGATTTCAGTGTGTTTTGCTAGATTTTCACACCATTTACCCACAGATTGACATTAAACGTGTTTATACGTGACATAAACGAGCAGAAAATCAAACGCGAGAGTTAACGGTACATGAAGTGTCACAGGAAAGAAAGGTTTTGGCGTACATGTTGTCTGATATTTCTTATTATTTTTAGAACATTGGGCAGAAAACTTTTGAACAGTTTCGAAATAATAATTTAAAATTGGTGCCATCATGTAGGTTGTCCAGCAGCTCCGACTCAGTTGTTTAAAATACTTTCAGAACTGTCTGCAGCGCATGTAGCAGAGCCTGTACCACAGCTGAGCAGAAGATGGTGCAAAGAGTGACTTAACGAGTTTGTAAAATACATTCATGATTTTCTCCTTCAAATATAACTTTAACTTTATATTTACATAGGCGTGCAAATGGCAAATATATGATATCACAATTTTTTTATTATAAAATCCCGATTTTGATTTTATCACAATCTTGCGTGTATTTTTGAGACTAATTTGCAAGTTTCTGCTCAGTGCCGCCAAACCATTTCTGTATGTAAAGTGACTGAACAAGTTCGTCGTGTTGCCATCCGACGTGCGAAACGTCTCTGTGCAAACTTTGCAAATGACCTTTGTTTGTGCTTTGTCATTTCAAATCAAATCAAGTTTATTGTCATGTTGCTGTACATACACAGTAGTACAGGCAAGATGAGAGAGCGTTTCTTCATGATCATTTAATTAGTAAGTTTTATGGAATACACGTCTGGGATAAGACACTAAACGTTCACTCTCGCTGCCTCCTGAAGGGGGCGCTGCGTCACATGGAAGAAGGATGGTCCTGCTGGTCTGGAGGGGTTAGCCTTTAGCCTAGCATGGATCCTGCTGGTCTGGAGGGGTTAGCCTTTAGCCTAGCATGGATCCTGGCTCTCTCCCTCCTCCTTTGTTTACATTCATACCGTTTACGCTTCCTTCTCTCTCGAGTAACTGCCGGCGTCGTCTCCAATCGGACTCCATGTTGGTGTAGTTTGTCCACATCACAACCTGCCGCCGCAATTTTAGCGACATTCATTGCTCTGATGTTCAGCAAAGTCTCTCGGCTGTCAGTTTTGCGGAATGAGCATCTGGGATAGACAATTTGGGGAAAAGCCAAAACAATTCCATATAATGGAAGCGGAGATTTTTTAGCGACCAACTCTTCTGTTTGGCTTTCTGTCATGGCTCTCCATGCGACTACCGCTACACATAGAAACAAGGAGGCAGGTAAGAAATTGCGTCACTGCCCGTAATTCGCTATGATTGGTCGGTCAGGTTGACGACGTAATACGTCTGGTGTGTCGGTGCATCAGCATAAAGCCTCAATTTCTAGAATGTGACCTAAACCATCCATACGATCTCCTCACTTTGGCAGATCGTCTACACCAGGGGTGTCCAATCCTGGTCCTCGAGGGCCACAATCCTGCATGTTTTAGATGTTTCCCTCTCCCAACACACCTGATTCA